AGACTCCGCCCAGACACATCCCCGGGGTGGTGGAAGTCACGCTGTCCTACAAATCGAAACAGTTCTGCAAAGGCACACCTGGACGCTTCATCTACACAGGTACCACCGACTGTACTCTGTACTGTAGTAGTACTGGTGACGTCAATGTACTGCAGTTCATCTGAATGTCACAATACTGCACCGTCACCAGTGTGAAACCATCTTCACTCTGTTTGAGACCGCAGCAGTGGGAGGAGCTGGGAAACATGACGTCAGAAATCTGATTTCTAACGAAGCTAGTAACCAATGACGTGTCACGATACCATGTACTGCGATACTATAGGCTCAGAGAAATACTGCAGTTTTGTTCAACCATGTAACTGCAGTAAAACCCAGTTTTGACCAGAGAAACATGAAGCTGCTGAGCACTGACAGGTCGACTGATGTGAGGAGGAAACGCTGTGTTATGAAGCGGGTGAAGGTCGGGGGGAGGGTTAACCTTTTGATTGGTGGGATTATTAAGATTTAACCCTGTCAAAGACAGGATTCACTGATCCAGGAAGGAAGAGGTCGGAGTCTCGTTTCTGCCCTGGCATGAAAAGAGAGAAGAGCACAGTTATGACTGGGGGAGAGCGGGGGAGAGAGGGGGAGAGAGGGGGAGAGCGGTGATTAACCGACGTGAGGCCACAGGTCTCCTGGGAGATTGAATCACACAAATCTGTGTGTAATCTGACTGAGAGACTCAGATTATAGAAAAGGTCAACATTTGACCAAATCACAGGTCGGATTTCTGGGATTATTTCTGAAGACAAACCCGTGTTCATGTGTCAGTATCATGACTCAGAGACGGTGTGGCTGCACACACACACACACACACACGAGGGCGTCTAGCCACGACAGAGGGCAGATGGGCGGGCAGCCCTGCCAGGCCGCGGCGTCACCACAGCCACCGCGCTGCCAAACACATAAATCCGTGTGTTTAGGAGTGGATGTGCACGGCAGTAGAGCGAGGTGCTCCTGTCCTGTCCTGTCCTGTCCTGTCGGAGCTGCCACTGGGCGAGTGCTGGTGTCATTACTGCGTTAATGAGTGAAAACAACAACATTCACAACAATCAAAACACTGTTCAGAATAATCAGGGCTGTGAGAAAAAACTGACCCTGAAGTACCTCCTGACCCCTCCTCTCTGAGTGGGGCAGGGGGGGGGGCACCTCAGTATATCGTGTCTCAGATTCTTTCCAATAATAATGGGAATAACTGCAGATAATTTGTTTTTGTAAGACTTGAAACAAGCGTAACCTCAACAGGTACCAGGAGGTACCAGGAGGTCAAACACCCTCTGGCTGCCACAGGCACAGTCAACCGTGTCCAGGCGTAGATCCCAGTCCTCCTCCCCCACCTCCCCCTCCTCCCCCTCCTCACCCAGTGGTGTCTTCACCTGATGCCTTTAACTCTCAGCTTCTCACCCTGTGACTGTAGCTTTTCTTGAATGAGGACGTAGGAAGAAATGGAAGGAAAAGAGTCGAGTGTTTGG